AGCCTTAATTCTGTAGAAATTAACACTCCTACCTTTGGAAATGGTTGTGTTATGGGGTCACTCCTGGCCCAGGGGTGAGTTTCTAATTCCATTTTTCTACAGGAAAGCACTTTACTGGGGGACTGGAGCAGCTCTCACCCTGTGAGCAGGCTGCTTGCAATGTCACAAACCACTGGAGATCCCAAATGCTGGATTTTGTAGCAAGGAGCAGTTTGGTAGATTTGCACAGAGATGTAAACATTTATTAGAAAAATCAAAGAAATGCTCTAAATGACATTTTTATTCTTGTTACCAAAATCTGGAGCTTTACTGAGCTCTGACCTCAAACAAGCCTTAAGAGCTGAAAGTCTGGAAAGACTTCAGGTCCTTTAATCTCATTTTAGTGTTATTTGAGCAGTGAGGGTGTTCTGTCCTTCCTGCTGCCCCCTCTGCTCTGAGTGAGGCAGCTTTGGTGGTGGTTTCATTCTGAGTGCTGCTGCTGCTCCCTCCTGTGCCTTCTCGAGTGAGGAAGATGAAGGATTGATTTGTTTCCTCCTCTCTGCACACAGGATCCTGTACCTCACTGATCAATTTGTATTTTAGACTTTTTCTCTGCTGGGAAGAGTGACCTGCACAGAACCAAAGCAATAAATAATGTTATTATTGAGAAAATAATAGTATTATTCAGAAAATAATATTATTATTGAGTAAATAATATTATTATGCAGAAAATAATATTATTATGCAGAAAATAAATAATATTCTGCTGTTAGCAGAGATGAAGCCTTAACACTTGGGCAGCCTTTCTGTGCCAGTTCAGCCCTGGGTGTTGGGTGAAACCCAAGCTCAGCCCAGCTCTGCTGTCCTTGGGGGCACAGGGGGGTCCCAATCTTGGACCCCTTCAGCCCTCACACCTCATTTTTATTGACAACACTCATTAAATCCTTCCTTTAATGTGGGGGGACTGGCATTTTATATCCTCAAGGGCCTTAAGAATCAAATTTCTTGTTTGTTATTGAAGGATTTCATGCATGTTCCCTGTTTGTACTCTCTGCTTTTAGCCCAGGTACTGTTTGTTTGGTTTTAAACACTGTTTGGTTTTATGGAACACTAAAATAAAGACAGTTTAAACCCAGAGTTCTGAGCACCCTGTCTTTGTTCTGAAGGGCTTTGTCCCCTCCTTGTGCCTCTCTGCTCATCCCCCGTGGCAGTTCCAGCTGTGGGTTTTTCTGGTTGAAGGCACTTGAGACAGTAATTCATGTTCAGACTCAAGTGTTGCATATTCATTCCCACACCTCATCCATGATGCATAAATTCCATTCAAACACAGGATTCTGTCTGGTCATCATCAACTTCCTCTGAATCCTGACAGTGCCTTCCAGGTGGGAAAAAGTTAGTTTCTTCTGATAATGGAGCAATAAATTCTTTTTCTCTGAAAGATTCAGGTGTCCTGTGGCTGCTATCTCACTGCAAGTCCTTTCTTTAAACAAAGTATCCTACATAGCATCGTTTCTATTTTAACATTTTGTATTAACCTAAAACTTTATTAAACACACTACTTAAGAGATTTAATACAGCATCACTTTCTAACACAACACATATAATATTGATTTTAATATTTGCGACAAGCCAATCATTAAATATGCATTTTTCACACTGGGGACACCTTTGGGACGGGCTCGTCCGCACCGGCAGCCCTGGCGGTTCCTGTAAAGCACCACCACGGAGGGCGGTGGGACTCTGGGC